GGCCGCCGCCGCCGTCGCCGCCATTTTCCCAGAGCGAGAAGCAGTGACACTGAGCGGGCGCAGGGGGCCGAGTCGGAGACGGTGCCTGAGTTCGGGAGCGGCAACAGAGGGGGCATAGACACACCGAACAACCTCGCCGCCGCCTCTGCGTTCTTGTTGACTGCCTGGGTGCCCCCTCCCCTACTCCTTGGCTCCTGGCGAAGAGGCTGCGCGCTGCTGTTTGGGGAGGGGGTGTGTGGAGCCGGGTCCTGTGTCCGCAGTGGCTGCTGTCGGGGGTTCGTCTGATTGCGAAGGTGTGGAGAGACTCCTTGGGGGTCGAGCAAATAACGGGGTTCGGGTGTCTGGTGTGTGAACATCACAGGTCAGTGCCTGTCGTCTCCGTGGGAGTTCGTGGGGTTTGCAGGGTGGGGGCACTGTGTTTCGAGGCTGTGGGGGCTTCTCATCTTTATCCTTCGGGAGGGGGCAGTCGACATTGACTCTCAGGTGTCTTTGCTGGGGCAAGACTTTGCTCGTTTTAATCGAATGTATCCTTTCTCTTGCTTGTCCCTAGAAATGGAGCATTATGGCGGGTTTTAGGGTAGTGGAAGGGGAAACTGGCAGTTAAACCCCCTTGAGAGTGGGAGTTAGGGAGGGGGCGCACTCCTCCCTGGCAGCGGGTTAAGGCCGCTTGGGTGAGGAGGACGCTTGTGACTGTTGGTAGGGTTTGTGTCCAAGAGGTCCCAGGAGCTACCGGCTCTCGCTTTTCTCAGCTGCGTCTTGTTCAGGTGTTGAAAAGCTGTGTAGGCCCCATTCTCTTCTTTTTCCATCTCTTGATTGGCAGTCTCGGGCATAGTGCTCTCGTAAATATGAAGGGGGTTAAAAGAACGCCCTAGGCATCCCTCTTTGTGGGAAAACGAGACCGCTCCTCATCCTCTCTGGGAGAGGATAAACCCGCCCCTGAGGTGGTCACCCCAGTACCCAGCCTTCTCAGTCTCCTCCCCCCACCCCTCTTGCATTACTGCCGTCCTTTACTGTGCCGGAGCCTTAGAATCCACAATATGGCTTATTTCAGAAAAGCTTACTTTGACCAAGGGATTGGCACAAACACTGTGGCAGCAGACTCAGATGAGAAACAAACGGTTCCCTGTGCTAAACGGGGGAGGAGGGAGAGAAAAAACAATCCGGAGTGCTCTCTTCCACTAGCCTTAGTTCCGTGTAGATACGTCCTAGCTGAGCTGTCTCTTGAGAATGATACAATTTAAGGTCAAAGAGAAATCTTAGCTTTAGAGTAAACCCCGTGCTACCTATTTTATTCCACCTTTTAGAGATGTGAATACTAAGGTGTTTGGAGTTCTGAAGACCTTGGAGAGAATTAGGTGAGGTGCATTCAGCTGTAGACAGGAAACATCAATACCTAGTTGGAAAATAGTCCTTTTTTCCCTTTAATTTTCGAGATGGGGAGTAAAAACTGTAATTTCCCTCTTTTGTCCTTTACAGATTCTAAAAATGGCGGCCCCAGGCTGATGTTGTGGTAATCTAATCAGCTCGGGTCCTCCACACCCCATGCAGTGCGTTTGTCTGCAGCATATTACAGGCTTATTATGTTTACATGAAAAGACTGGGATTCCTCCCACCCCCCACCCCAGTCATTTACAAAAAGGTGTTGATTTTACTGCAAATTACAATCCTTGTATTTTAGTAGATTAATTTTATTGGTTTTTTCCTGAGAGGCAAATTAATTGATACCACTTCTAAAATAATAAAAGCACTCAGGTAGTCTTGGAAATTTCAGTGGTCAGGATGGATGCAGTTAAATATTAAAAATATTATTTAGGTACCAGTAATAGTTTATGTTGGGTTTAATTCAACCATCTTTTATTCATTATGTCAGAGTATATTAAAATATTCTGCTAAGTGTGTAAGTGTAATCTATTTCATATGATTGGACATTTTTATCTATAGTAAAACATTTCCATTCAACTCTTGACAAATTTTGTACATTTTGGGTTTTGTATTCTGTTTCAGAGTAAATTTTAGGGAGCTGTACAAACAAGCCTAAACCTGTTACTTCACTAGGTGTTCAGATGCTGTTATATTTGCATCTGTTTTTTCCCATGTATTTGAAGCTTTCCTTAAGAATTTTCAAAGTTAATTGTATATTTGATGAAGTGAAGCTCCATATTTTGCTTGCTTTTAAATTTGTCTTGTAGCATACTTATCATCATTATGTAAGTAAAAACAGTAAGGCTTTGGTTTGGTTCTTGGTCCTCCACCCCCCCCAAACATTATCATTTACCCATTAAGAGATTGTCCACTCTAATAAACCTTAAGTAAAAGTGTTACCATAATAGGGTCCAGAATCCATTTTTTGTCATATGCAGAATCTTATGGACTGAGACTGAAAATTAAATGCTGTTAGGTGTCATTTATCTGTATTTTTAAAAGTGTGAGTAATTAGAGTCATTTCCATAGCGGGAGGTTATCAGTGGGCCATTAATGGCTTTTAATGACCATTCAGATTGTGGAGCAACTAAAAGATGAGTGAGTGCTTTTCAATATGATAGTACTTAAAAAGACTGGAGTATATACACCCTTTTAATGATTTTCTGATCCATTTTTAATATTTTAGAGTAGAATTTACTTCATGGTGAATATGAGAACAAGGTTGATAATGAGGTTCTATTCTACAGAATAATTATTGAAATAACTGGCTTAGGGATTTTCTGCATACCAGTGAGTTTCATCCTTGAAGGTTGAGCACACAACCTTACTTTGAATTTTTGAAATATTTTATTATGTAATGAAATGTAGGTCAGTAATGGGAGAGTTTGCATAGTGATTTGGGATCAATACTCATTTGTATTATGCTCTTGTTTGAGTATGTAAGATCCTTCACTACTATATTAAATGCTATACAATTATTTTATGGGCTTTGTAGTTAAGAACTATGATTCAGAAGAAGATTGGTACTTGAAACTTACTATCCAATGTAAGAATCAATGTATTCTTATACATTTCATTTATGTAGCCAGAGGACGTAACACTGCCTATGCTCAGGGTTTTCTTGATAGTGACCTTGGTCAGGTCTTTGATATACAAAGAAGCTTGAATCACTTGGCTTTAAAAATATGATAGTTAGAAATTATAAAAGCTTCTGCCTCCTGAAATCTATTAGCTTCATACTTGCTTGCTTCATTGCTTTGAGTTTTGTTTTGCTCCTATAAAATAGACTTTAAAAAAAAGTATTGTGCCTTATTTAAAATACTTTATAAGTAATATTTTAATCAATTGATTTTACATAATAAAGATTGTGGAGGTAAATTTATTAAAAGGTTATGTATAATTTTTGTTCCCAGAAAGTTTTGAAACATTTGTTCCCTAGGGGGATAATGGCTTTTGTTCTTAGGATAGCTAAGGATAGCTGAGTTTGAGGGATTATTTGCTTATCTGTTTAAGTGGATTTGTAGAAAACCATAATGTAATTGGAGAGTTAATTTTATTTTTAGAGACTACATTTTGATCATACTTGGCTTTTGTTGTCAGTGTAAAGGATCTCTTTGATCCTTAAGTTTAGAACCTTTACAGGTCTACATTTCAACCCTATAGGACTCTGATAACTCTCCTACAATTTTGGCTTTTCTGACTTCTCATAGCTTCTAGTCAGAGAATCTTCTACATATATACCACATTAAACTCTAGGACTTTTGGATCTAAAAATAAGGAAGTAGAGAGAAAACCTGCTTAAAGTATTAGGAGAAATTCCTCCCCTCAATACACATTTTAGTAGTTTCAGGAAAATTATAACTGTTATTAAATTGGATTTTTAAGTTACTGAAACGGTTATAGTAAGTGGTTATTGAAGATTATGCCCAGGGGTGTTCCAACCACTGAGCAACATCTCAGACCTTTTTATTTTTAATTTTTAAAAATCAATTTACTTTTTTAAATTAGGTATATATGACAGCAGAATGCATTTTGATTCATTGTACCAAGTGGTAGTTTTTCATTTCTCAGGCTGTACATGTATAGCATCGCACCATATGTGCCGTCGTACATGTACCTAGGGTAATGATGTCCATCTCATTCTACCATCTTTCCTGCCCCCAAGCTTCCTCTTTTTAGACAAGACCTTGCTAAGTTGCTGAGGCTGGCCTTGAACCTGTGATCCTGCCTCAGCCTCCTGAATCACTGGGATTACAGGCCTGCACTAACACTCCTGGCTCATGCATTAAACTAAACCTGTAGGTTTATTTTTATAGGTATGTTATGTGAATCCTAACAGCTCTGCCTTTCTGCACATTACTACTGAGACATACATGTGTATATACTGCCATAGTTATATTTAAATGTATAAAACAGAATGGTTGTATGGTGCACACTGAGAATTTTAGCAAATTGGGAGGGTGAGGCGGGAGATCACAAGTTTGAGGCCAGCCTTGGCAACTTTACCCGTCTCAAAATAAAAAACTAAAAAAAGGGCTGAAAATGTATAAAACTAACAGAACATTGAAAAGCCATCAAAACCACTTAGAGGAGCAGAGCATGGTGGTACGCACTTATAATTTCAGCAACTTAGGAGGCTGAGGTAGGAGGATCACAAGTTTGGGGCCAGCCTCAGCAATTTAATTTAGTAAGGCCCTGTCTCAAAATAAAAAAAAAAATTAAAAGAGCTGGGATGTGACTCAGTGGTTGAGCACCCCTGGGTTCAACCTTCATAAAAAAAACTTGCTTTGGGAATATTAGTACGTAATTTTCTTAGAAGATGTTACGTTTGTTACTTGAAAAAAATTTAATAGATTTTCTTGCTAAAGGATTTATTCTTAACAGATGATAGGTGCTCAATTTGTGAATTTAAAGCTTTTGTTTAAATGAATATATTTCCATTTCAAATATTCTGAATGATCAGGGTCTGTACCTTGTTATGTGTTAGAATAAATTGCTGAATACTTTGTTCTCTGAGACTTTTTACTACTGA